TCTCAATTGAAGAACCAAGAGGTTGGCAATACGTACCAGCTTCGGTCGCTGACGCAGCAACTCAGCATTGAAATATTTGAAAAACTTGTTCCCACTTTTATTTAGCCATGCCCATATACAGGTATAGTCGCCCAGTTGAAGAATGAGCGCGCGGGCAAACGGGGCACAGACACAGCCGCACTGGACCACCTGGCCATAAATTTGGTTGTCAACAAATGGCCTAGCAGTGCAGTGCAGAAATGCAGAATTTGGAGTGATTCAGGTAATTTTAATTTACTATAGGCACCTTCTATTAATCATTCATATTAAAATTAATTGCGAAAGGGAGAAATAAGAGGGATATTATCACAATATGGCATTTTGGAGACCTTTTGAAACAGAACAAAACGATATTTACCATCAATATAATAAAATTGTTTGAGGACGGATAATTAAAATATGTTGTTGGTGAATGAATATATAATTGAAATTTTCTACACATTATATACGAATTATTATAATTTATAATTTTTTACTTTTAGCAGAAAACTTTTTAGGGACGCCTATGAAACTCATTAATTTTTATTGCTAGTCGTTTTCATACATGTACAACTAACTTCGGAAGACTATGCTTGTAAAATAATACTTAAAATGTCACCTGCAATTAATATATCCCTTCATTTTGTTTCAGTATCTTTTACAGTTGCAGAATTTTATTATATAAACAGAAAATAATTGGCGTTCTACTTCTGCATTGCGTTTTAACTGCCAAATACTTGGAGCAACAATGGAATATGCAGCTGCAAAGGATCTAACAATCCAACTACTCAATACAGCATTATCTTCCATCAATATGCTCCATTATATTTCTGTGTCATGCGTTTCTCATTCAATTTTATTCAAAGGATCAAAGGTGTTTCAAATCGCGGTACGGTACAGGTGTTAAGACCAAGCGAAGATTTATTCCAAGCACCTTCAAGCTGTTCTTCGGAAGTTTTCATAAATGTGTAGGGTACTAAACAAACAGCATTATTACCTGGAAACCGGCTGTTTTATGCTTGTCGTGATAGTTCTCGTCTTTATGTAACTAGTTTGAAAGTAAAAAAGTTGAGGAGGCAATTTAACAATTTGCTACAAATATCATATATTGTAAGCATATGCTGCTTGTTAGCTGGAAGCTGACATATATGTAACATTAGGACACTCTAATTACATGGTTAAAATTGTAAAAATGTCTCTGTTTAATTCCTTGGATTTGCTTTGCATAAAATCGGTCACAGTAGTCATTTGTGATGGAAACCTGTTAATCAATATGAAAACTATCTGCTTCAATTAATTACAACCTTAGTATTAATACAGAACGTATTTATGGTTCTGTTTGTACGTATTTAAGAAAAAAACTGGCTGATTAACAAACAGGATACAGGACGTGCAAAGGAAATTGCTTTTTATTGCTAACAGTATACTATCCTTGTGCTGATTTTGTTTATTATTACGTTGCTTACAATATCTCCTTTCGCGGATTAGGTTAGTTGAAAATATGTTTGAATCTATTGAACATAAAGTAAACACATTTCTAAGAAAACTTCTCTAGTTGCCAAACTAGAAATTATGTTTTGCAACTAAGTGATAGTGTTTGAAGCTAGATTTGCTGATTTAAGTCGAGATAACGCTGACGCTTTCTGATTTAACATATACCATACCAAAATATTGCAGCAACGAACAGAACAATTTCTATTTCCAGTACTTTTACATTCCTCATCACAGTGTAAGTCTTACTTTTAAATCAGTTCTTGTAACAAAATTATCTTTTAACGTTTGAAAAATTTAGTATAATAAGATAATACCAGGTTATCTCTGTTATAAAATTATACGTATACTTCTTAACATCTTTCAGTATGTCACCTAATAGTGCTGGTATATCCTTATATCGTTTGATTTATTAACACTTGAGGTATGGTAACAGACACAACAGTTCATATTTGTGTATATGAGGAAGTAACGGTCACAACAACTATATTATGGAAATTAGTGTAGTTTATATGAAAACCTGGGCGTAATCTACACTGTTCTTAAAACTTTACATCTTTTTAACATAAAAATTGAACAGTTATACTGGAAGGACGAAATCCCACTGCGTGTATATTTTTATTAGGTCTGCATATGACATCATGATAACACACTTTCTGTAAAAGGTTGTATACCTGTTACTTTGTAATAAAATGTTTCAAGTGACAATTTTTTAGCATAGTTTGGTGTACGAAATCCATATTAATTATTCTGACGGTTACAAAATATTCAGAGGAATTAATTATTATTGATCAAATATTTTGAACCTAGATCATAGAATATCCTTAAAAGTAATGCACAGGGTGGACTATAATTTGGGCACTTTTGGTGCGTTTCTCACATGTTGGGAGACAAAATATGTCTTGAGTTCGATTTTTGATACAATTGATTGGTGAAAAACACGTGATGATTCCCTTGAAAGATATTTACAGGGCGTTTTTCGTTGTTGGCCGGTTTTATGATGTCAAACAATGTTTCTATTTCCTCAATTTTTTTTTAAATTGATTTACTATACAGCGAGTCGGGAGAATTGCACCAAACTTCAGAAATGGATTCTATACGTCAAAATAATAAGAAACACATTTCAATAAAAAATAATAATTTATTGATATTATATTAATCATAATCTTTGATTGAATGTTCAAAACATCACCATTGACCTCTAAACCTTTGGTGCAATTCTCAGGACTCACCATGTAGCAAATTGTTAAGAATTATCCTGGATTTTTTTAGCAAAACAGAAACTTGTTTTCATTAACTATTTCAGATTTAATATACAGGGTGTTCCGAAAGTCGTAGAGTCAGTTAATTTTTATGGGCAGGGCTATGTTTTCTTTATTATTTCGTTTGGAAATTACATTTGAACACTTTGTCTTCGTTTTAGTTACAATTTATTTCAAAAAAGTTAAACTTTTTTTATTACCGTATATTTATTAAAGTTTTATGTGATTTTGGCATAATAGTAGAAAAAAAAATTAGAAAAAATCACTCTAGTAATCTTTAACTAGATATAAATAGCAATATTTTCGACGTCTGCATAAAATTTAATTTTCCAATAGGTAAATTAAAATGATCTGGATATTTTCTAGAAGAATTTAAGAGTATGCCATTTAAATTTCGGAAATTGTGGCATTTTCTTAATAAACTAGGAGTATAGAGAAATGATTTCTTCATGGAATTAGTCTATTCGTTGCTTATTTTATTAATATCCAATTTGATGTCACTAGCACTAATCAAAAGTGGACTACAAAGGTGACTTTACTGTTCGGTACACCCATTATAGAAATGCATCTATTTTCTTAATATAAATTATTTCTGATCCTACTTCCTTACCCTGAGATCCATTAAAACTTTTATAATTCCTGAATAAATAACTAATTTAAACGAATATTCATAGATACAGCTAGAAGTAATGCTTAATAAGCAATGAAAATATACAGGGTGTCCCGCATAAGAACCGACACAGGGCAGGTACATGTAGGGGTGTCTAAAATACTGTAATTTAACCAAAGTTCGAGAAAAAAATTAATATATCTGCAACACTTTACCGCAGAAGAACCAAATTCGGTACATGATTTAGGTTTATTACTGGTCTACTTTGGCTATGATTTAAAGTTAATTGAAGCACTACAAGGTGTTCATTGGGGATGACTCACCCCTAAAATTGTACTTTTTTTCATTGACCAAATTGAAAAATGATAATATTAATTCACAGCAGAATTTAATTTTAAAAATTTTTTTACTCTTGTTAAATTTTAAGAAACTTCAAACTTGTTAGTTAGTAATAAAATTATTTTATTTCAACAATTGCCTCTGATTGTTGAAAAAATATCAATTATTATTTTTATTATTTATTTGTGTTTTTTACTTAATAGAATATTCGCTTATTTAAAAACAACCTAGGTACTTGTTTTCTTTTTGTAGAATTAAGAGAAAAGTGAAGTAAAATTTATTTGGTCAATTGTCAAATTTGAAAGATAAAGCCTACTACTGACTTTTTGATTATTTTGTAATGAACACTGTTGAAATCTTATGTCAGTTAATATGGTTTGTCTTGGGAACCAAAAAGTTTTTTAAAATTTAACAAGAGTAAAGACAAATTTAAAATTAAATTCTGCTGTGAATTAATAGATGCTACTATTTTTCAATTCGGTCAATGCAAAAAAAGTTAGGTACCTACAATTTTAGTGCTTCAATTAACTTTAAATCATAGGTAGTCAAAGAAGACCAGTAATAAACCTAAATCATGTACCAAATTTGGTTCTTTTACGGTAAAGTGTTGCAAAGATAATAATTTTTTTCGAAATTTAGGGCCCCACTTTGGGGGCTAATAACTCCTCAGGGGTGCAAATTTGTATATAGGTAAGTTTGGTTAAATTACAATATTTTGGACATCTCTACATGCCCTGTGTTGGTTCTTATCCGGGACACATATACAGGGTGTCGTATATACGTAATATCCGTATTTTTTCCTTATAAGTCCTCTTCTTAAGAACAAAAAAAAACTAATTGCGAAGTAAAATAATAGGAACATACATTAAAGATCATTTAATCCATGAACGGGGTCTGATTCATTAAAATAAATTTATTTCTTTAATATTTACATCATTTATATGGCTGTCAAGTGTAATAAATATTGAAATTGTTATATTGGTCTAGCAGAAATGAAGGGTACCTACGAAAAATGATGTATTGTCCAAATAGAGACAGTTCACACAATTTGTCTTGATTTTTAATAAATTTTAAGCTGACATAACTTCTTGAAGGTGTTCTAAAACGTATTTACATATAAAATTATGTCAAATTTGCATTTTAAATTTAAGTGGACTCAGAAAATGGATTTATATTTGTCAGAAATAAAGTCTACGATAAACCGTGTTCATACGAGTATACTTTTGTTGGTACGTCTTAAGAAAAGTCATTCGGATTGAAATGTAATAATTCTTTCTTACCAAAAGCACGCAACTGGACAAAAATACCAACAAGTTCATCTTCACTGAAAAGTCAAACAAACACATAAAACACCAAATTTGTTCTGTACAGAAAATACAAAATCTCGATCCGACGCAATCACCGACGAAAATGCGTTTTTATGTGGCTTCGCTCGCGTGAGTTGGGAATCCTCAAGCGCGTGTGACAAGTTCTTGGGCGCGTTGTTCAACTCTGAAGGCGCACGCGATGAATGATCGCCAAAGAAGATGTTACCGCTGGGCCGTATGGAGTATAGTAAGCTGCAGTGGATACGTATAGGGTGGCCTCGAAAAAGGCGCGATTTCGGAGATGCACTTTTATGGTGGATGCGCTGGGTGTATCAGCTTTTTAAATTACCTGACCTCCCGTAGAGCGCTATTTCCATGACTTACTTATTTTTCTCGTCAAAATACCAAATTGTCCATTTTTATAAAGAGTGTTTTGAAAGCAAAACATCTAACTGTTGCTTCAAACGAAATTTTGACAGTTCAGTAAAATTTTTATTGACATTTTCGCAGTTTAAAAAACTAATTCACATATGAAGGAGAGTAAAGCTTCAAAGTTATCGATTAATTAATTTGAAGAATATCTGGCTTTGTTGTTTCGTGTGGAAAAATTGCATTTTTAATTATCTGAAATGTTGACACTGACAATCAAAGTGAGACATTCTGATGATACTTCCATTAGCAAATCGTATGAAAATTAAAAATGGAGTGGTCTCAAAGATGAGTCTTGTGGTACACCAGAGTTTGTAAAGAAATTGTCGATATAATGAAAAAAAAAATATACTAAATCATCATTTAAACTAATTGAATGCAGTTTGCACTTTTAAGAAGTGAATCGATTTCATTAATAAAATAAACTAAATTTATTTCTATGGATCTGTACGGAAAAAAAACATGTTATTTAGGAATCTGTACATTTTTTCATAAATAACAAATTCAGACACATCACATTATAATACAAAACTCAAATTTTGACATAAAAAACGTATTGTGAAAATTACTGAACATTTTGAGTAAAAATATGGACTCAACCAATTTCTAACTGTCGACAGTGCGTTGAAAATTGATTTTTTTAGGGTGACATAGAAAAAAGTACATTGCATAGTGTCATACAATAGAGGACACTAAAACAAGAAAAAAAGTTCCTATGAACATGGGTCCGCAAGGCCTTCGGTTAAAGGATACGGGGTGTTGAATTTTAATATTTTTTTATTTGCAAAAACAATGATAAATACTTCAACAATTAAATTTTAATGGTATGATGAAAAATATGATTAATTAAAACAAAACATTAAGTTTTTAGAAGAAGTTCAAATTGTTGCCCTTGTACTTCAATACATTTTTCCATTCTTCTTCTTAATGATTTACGGCATCTTTGAAATATTCCTAGGTTATTATGAAATCTATCTGCCGATTCCATAATTCTTATCCATAATTGTTCTTCATTATGTATTTCTACAGCATAAACTTCATTTTTCATAAATCCCCAAAATGAAAAATCGAGGGGATTAAGGTCGGGACTACGAGCTGGCCAGGGTACAGGCCCTCTTCGACCAATCCACCTATTTCCAAATCTCCTGTCCAAATATTCCCTTGCCACTCGAGAAAAGTGAGCTGGCGCCCCATCATGCATGTAATACATTCTTCCAATAATGGCCAATGGGACATCCTCTAATAATGTGTTTAAATCATTCTCCAAGAAATTTCGATACAGTGCACCTGTCAATCGATTGGGCAATCGAAATGGGCCAATTAAGTAATTGTCGATTATACCTGCCCACACATTAATAGAAAACCCATATTGGTGACTCCGAATTATAGTTTAATTAGGATTTTCATCACTCCAATGGTGCATGTTATGTAGGTTGAATAATTTGCGTGCATTGTCGGCTTTTGTACTGGAACTATTGCTTCTAGCGACTTGGACAAGGTATACCTTTCTTACGTATAAAGAAGGGATAACAATTTTTTTTCAGTCGAAAATGACATACAGTGTATAGCAAAAAAGTTAGGACCGATTCAATAGATATGGAACCCTGTATGTAGCGCCCTCTATCAGTAATCACAAAACTAAGATCATATTTGAATTTAGCATGATAAAAAAACCCCTGTATACCACATTTTATCCATTTCTTGCGTCTCTGGCTAAAGATATTAAAAAAAAACCCAAACAAAAATAAAATTCAACACCCCGTATCTTTTAACCGAAGGCCTTGCTGACCCATGTTCATAGGAACTTTTCTTCTTATTTTAGTGTCCTCTATTGTGTGGCACTATGCAATGTACTTTTTTCTATGTCACCCTGTATATCTGATAAATCTACCATATTTTAAATCTGTATCATATAAATGTTTCAATCCAATCAAATTTTTACCGAAATTAGAATTTTATTATGCCACCAGGGGCTTGGCTTTGGAAGTGATGTCCAACTTAGAAAAAAAATGCACTGGTTCTTTGTTTATTTGAATATATTTTTGTAATTCCCTTTCAACAAAAAAATTCTCTTCAGTTTTAAAGGAAAATACGATTTTGTTAATAATAATACATGAAAAGACTATCCCTGTCAGACTGGAATTTTTTGGAGATAATTTTTCATTTAATGATTAAAAAGATTGACTAAGAAAACAATAAGTTTTTCTGCACTTCAGCAGAAGTTGATAAAAAACGAACTTTTAGAGATACAAGACACAATCAGTTGCGTTCTTCTCTTGTATATTTTTAAAAATTTCGGCAGGAATATAATTTTCTCTCTTTCTTCTATAGTAAATCAAGTATGAAGCAAAAAATTTTAGCCCGTAAAAGATATATTTTGTAAAATGTTGCTGGGGAAGTCCGCTAGCGATTTCTACAATAAAATTGAAAACGAAAGACACTATTTAGCATCCTAATATATTTGATTCTACCAAACACAACATATCTTTTAAAGATGTCGTCAGAATTTGATTAAGAAAATAGAATCATTAAAAATTATTTTTCATAATTAACGACCAAAACATTTACAATTAGATTCAGATAGACATCATTCCCGCTGTTCCATGTGAGGAAAGGAAGGAAGGAAATCGGATGTCGATTTTAATCTGTGTATATTTATGCATTTTAACTAACCACAATGCAGGTGCAGTATTTTTCTTGCTAATTACACCAAACACAGAACTACTACTTGATTTCAAAGTTTTATTGACTGTGCGTTTTCAAGAATGCTTTAGAAAATCTGGGAAAAATTGGTAGTTCAGAATCAAAATATTATTGAAACAGAAATTACGGATTCTTGACACATTTTCAGAAATTCGAATCTCCTTAGATAGAAGGAAAATGCACTTTTTTAAAACACAGTACCTATTTTTTCTTTTGATTTCAAATTAGTAAAAATTAATAACGTCGTCAATACGAAGAGAGAATATAACTTTCTTAAATGATATATTTAGATACTTTATCAATAGTTAAATACATTCAGGAATCTCTGTATTAATTTCACTTGTATTTTATGATCGTAACGCTAATATTTACGGTAGTTGACTTATACTGCAATATAATAATACGTTTATTAAAGCTCAGTGCTACCCAAGCATACATAATACCTCTTATGACCGTTACATAAAGCAAACTTTCGTGGCAACGCTTGACATGACCAAGCTGGAATTGCCCAAAGAATCTGCAGTTTGTTGCAGTAAAATTCGTTTCAAATAAATATTTGTCATTCTCTGAAAGTTAAAAAAGTACTTATAGCAAAAGGTTGATAGAACTGTATTTAATAAAAATAAATTTAGCATTAAGTTTTAAATAAACATAATGTTCCTCTCTTTTGAGTAGGTTAATAGTTGCCACGTCATCGGTTTAGACATGTCGATGTTTCAAGTTTCAAAAGACATTTGTATTGCCTACACATCTGAATCAGCATTATGGCTTAAAAGTCAACTTCAAAGCCTTTCTATTGAAGGCTTCCAAGTTGATATTTGTTCAATCTGGGGATAAGGGCAAATCCATAGATACTAGGTTAGTTTGTTCATAAACCTGATCCCTAAAGGTGACGAAGGTTTTTCTGATACATATATACGCCACTAACAATAAGTTATTGTCTTCTGGGATGAGCTTTCGATGAAGTACCATATATTGGGTGACTATGTGATGGATAGATGAGGTTTTGTTGAATATATCAAAATTTGAGATTTACTTTACATAACAGTAAAATATTAAAGAATTTGACCATTTGACCAGTGCGATCCAACTCAAATGGAAAAACAGGTTTTTATTGACGGTTTTAATTAGTTTATTTTAAATATATTGCTTAAAATAATATTTTACATCACAAAACATGTGAGTTAATTTAATTAATAATTAAATAAAAAATAAATATATAATATATAAATAAAAATAAATAATTAAATTCTACTTTTATTTATTCTTAAATTTGTTAACGATTTTTTTATTTAAAATCCGACTACGCCACTGGAGCCTGCACCTCTTCAGTGTGGTTTATACTAAATTTTGAGAAACAAGAAAACGGAGTAGCAACCAATTGAATTATAAATATATGAAATAAACAAATAAAATGTACCAAATTAAACATTAATTTTTAATTTCAATCTGAAAATTTCATGCAGTTTACTAGGTATAGAGGGTATAGAATCCAGTGCTGTAATTAAATTTTAAATAAAAAAATCGCTAAAGAGTGTTTCTATTTGAATTGAGTCACACTGTATATAAGACACAAGTTGGAGTATACCTCTGGATTTAGTACTCTCATATGTAATTCGTAATATAACTTTTTTAGAAAAAGAGTAAAGGAGTTTTTTGCAGGGCTTAGTTTTAAATAGGTTTTCTTTACACCAAAGGAGAATTAACACCGAGAACAGACTGGACATATTCCAATCTTATTTGGCAGATATTAAAGGATTGTTCTGCTTTCATAATTGATATTTTTTATTTGTTTTTTCATTCACTTTTTTGTTTGTTGAAATTTATCACTTGAGCTCATTTTTATTCATTGATAAAATTATATATATTTTTTAACACTAAGCATTTCTATTTTATTCTTTTTTTAATACTACATATTTCCGTAATTTATGTATACACTTATTGTTATTTTTCTATTTTTTATCTAGTTCAAAGTTTGGTTGGTATTTTTGTTCTCTTTTATTTTAATTCTAGTTTAAACTACAAAGTTGATCTCATAAAACTCACAAGGG